AATCACTTCATTTTTATGATTTCGGTGGACTTAGAGGAGCTTATTGCTTTTGGTATTAAACAGGAAGTCAAGGGCGGTGTCCCATACAGAAGAAGAACGGGATCTCCAAAGCAATATGTCACTTATTCATGTTCGTATCCCCTATGCAAGGCAAAATTTAGGGTTGAAGAACAAAATGGAGTGTTTACTATAAGCAAAGTTAATGAAGAACATTGCCATCATATAGGAGTTGAAATGGGTTCACATTACGCGAGTAAATTTTATCAAAAATGGATCGAACTTTATATTAAAAACGGTGGAAAGCAATTTCTTGCTCAAAAAGCATTTTTTGATAACTTCGGAATTGATACGAATAACAAAGAAACGATGAAACTTTTCGCGCAGTCTACTGATGCTTTAAAGCACAAATTTTATCGCCTTGATGAGATTATTGCACAAAGATTATCAAACGATCCTTACACTTCTTTGGAAGCATTTTTGAATAATTTACAGGAAGAGTGCCCAGATGATCTCGTTCAATTTGATTACAATGGAGATTTTTCCGAGTTTACAATCATATATGCACCTTTTGCTGCAAAAGAATTGGTGCATAGCATTGATAACCCTCTCCACGTCGATTCCACTCATTCTTTAATTAAAGGAAAGATCCAATTGTTTGCAGTAACAATGAAAACAAGTCAAAACACAATTTTCCCCTTTTGCTATTTTTTAGTGAACCCTCAGACATCTGAAAAAATTCAAGAATGTTTGGTGAAATTCTGTGAGTTTGCGCACCTGGATCCACAGCATTGGAGCGCTGACTGTGCGCTAAACATTGCTCGCGCAATTGAGGACGGATTTCCTCTTGCGCAGCTCAGTTGGTGCGCTGTGCATGTTTTACGCGCATGTGCAAAAGTTGGAAGCTATTTTGACAATCCACAGAATTTTGAGAACTTCTATTTAGCAATGGACTTTTTGACATTACGTGCAGATGCAACGAATGCAGAAAAGCTGGCTGAAGAGTCTGATGAAACATATGAGTTCTTGACAACAATGTTAGAAGAAGAAGAACCGCGCGCTTTGAAGTATTTCGATAAACAATGGAGAAGAACCAAAGAACATTGGATGATGTTATATCGTGGAGAAGGTGATTCCACGAATAACATTGCGGAATCACACTTTCATCAATTAAAGCAAACATTTTTCTTGGGTAAGAAAAATGAGCGCATTGATGACATCGTCATAACTCTCATCACTGTTGTGATTCCAAATGCGATTATTAAGGTTCAAGTCGCTAATGTTTTGAATGAAGAAAGAGCAGTAAGAATTCTTACAAGGGCAGGTAATCAGATTGTTGAGCAAAGAGCTTCAAAACACGATGAATGTTTGAAATTAATTCAACACATTTTGGAAATTGTCGAAAGCCGAAGGATTGAACCTAATGTCCTTATTCCATCTTTGAAGGCAATATTAAATTTGGCACAAAGAAGTTTAAAGGAAGAGTAAGCAAGATTAGATAATTTGGACTTTTTTTAAAATTAATGAATAAACAATATATTTTTGAAGTGTAAGCTTATTTACCTGAAGCTATATTACTTAATATAACATTCAAAGTATTATTGCTATTTATTGGAGAACAAATTTATGTAATTTTCACATGAAAATTGATAAATTTGTATTTCCTTATGATAATCAATTTTTGTATTTGTAGAGAGTCTCCCTGCATGATATCAAGACTTGGCTATTAGTCTTTATCCATTTTTGAAAATTGTATTGTAAATTGTAAGAATTTCTGAATACTACTACTATAAAATATAATTGCTTATCAATGTATATTCTCCCTGCATGATATCAAGACTTGGCTATTAGTCTTTATCCATTTTTGAAAATTGTATTGTAAATTGTAAGAATTTCTGAATACTACTACTATAAAATATAATTGCTTATCAATGTATATTCTCCCTGCATGATATCAAGACTTGGCTATAAGTCTCTATTCATTATGAGTATGACCCCATTTTTTTACAAAAAGTGCCGAATTGCAACTTTGTCCCAATCTCAAAAAATATATTTCATCACTTATATTCTAATTTTTATTTAATGATAAATGAAACCGATTTTAAAAATAAATGAAACAGAGGAGGAAGAAATAAATGAAAGTGAAAATGTTCAACAAAAAATAAACGTTGTTAAACCAATTACTGAAATAAAAATTTTTTCATCTGTTGAAGAATTTAATGACTATTATGCTAATAATAAAAAATTATTTGAAGAATTGACAACATGTAAATTGAATAAAATGTTTAAAGTTGATGGATTCAAAATTTCAAAAATAAAGGGGGTGGTTAGTTTGAAATCTATTCCTCAATCAAGAATCACCTCATTAATGAAAATTGATGATTTAACAAAAAGAATAGAAGAGATTGAAGAAAGAATGAATCAAATAATTGATTTCATAAATTCAAATAATCATTAGTTTCTTAAAGTTCTATGTTGAACTCATCAAATTCTTCTTCATCATTACCATTACCATTACCTTTAGCGAGTTTATTTACTCTTTCAACTCTATCTTTTGATAGTCTTGCGTTTAATTTTTTCTGAAGTTTTTCGTTACCAAGTTCTAAAATTTTACATGGATGATATTTAAACCCGTTAAATTCTTTTTCCTCAGTTTTAATCATTAATCTACAAAGAACTTTAGTGAGGTGGTTTTGTTGTTTAAACCATTTATCCTTAATATTTGTTATAAATTCAATATCCGGAATTAATTCCCAAATTTTTGAATTTTCGATTAATTTACCATCAAATGCAAAAGCAATAGGTTTAATATTAAACTTACCTTTATAAAATAAACTTTGTATGTAATCATCAAAATAAACGTCTACTTGTTTAACCTGGGTGAGAATTGGTGAAAGTTTATCCATTAATTGATTCACAGTCACGAATTTTGATTCACTCATTTCATACAAAATAAAAAAATAAATTATTCAAAAATGTAAGACATGAATTTTTAAAGTTTATTTTTTATTCATGAAAATAATTATTTCTAATTTCTTTTACTCTCTCGTATATACTAGATTTAAAGAATTCAGAACATTTCCCATAATCTCCTAAATGTTTTCTTATCCCTAACCTGTGCCAGTTATTATATGAAACTGAATAAACTTTATCTTTATCTTTACACCTTTCATCACTTCCAATATATTTATATCTCAGTTTTGATTTAGCATTTTCATATTCATTAGCGTTTAATAATTCACAGTCTTCCTTTTTAAATTGATGTTTAAGATATTCAGGATTTAATACTCTACGTTTATATGCTCCTAACTTAGTTCTAAAGGTTTTTCTACAAAATTTAGGAATTCCATCCTCTTTAATGTCATCAATGATTTCCATTTCATTATTTTCAATTTCTTCTTCTCGTTTATGAGGTCTTTGATTATGACTCCATTGATTCCATGAAATTAAATATTCTTTATCATTATATTTATACCTCATTAGCTTATTTTGGCTTTCATATTCATTTAATAATTCACAATCTTCATTTTTAAATTGAAGTTTAACCCATTCAGGATTTAAACAATGTTTAATTAATCGCGGAATATCTGACATCATCTATATATAGCTTCTTTTATAAAAGATAAAAAAATAAATTATTTTAAAATTAATGTTAATTTTTTAATGATTTATAAATAAATATATTTTAATGCATCGTCTATATATAGATGTAACAAAAAAAGTCACACAACCCTTCATATCCTACTACTAGTCAACGTTGGCTTAGCAATTTTTTTTTATGGAATTGAATCCTTCAGAGGATGAAATACATGATTTTATAAAGAGCTTGATGAAAAATGGAAGGAAACTTGTGGGATGGACAATAATTCAAGAAATTATCAATTTAACTGAGCATTATGGAGGAGCTTCGGGAAATAAGAATCCAGAAGAATTACAAGTGATATATGATTTTCAACGCACTTTCAGTCAAGAATCTGGTAAAAATTATCCCTTAATACTAGCAGCTCTTAAATTATGCCAAGACCTTCACAAAAATCATTTAATTTCGTCTGAGAAGTATTCTGAGTATTACAATTCACAAATTACACTAGATAGTTTTGGTAATGAATCTGGAAGAAAAGAAGTTGCTAAATTAATTGCTTTTTATAGACCATATGTCCAATATCTTAAAATAAAGCATGACCGAATATAAGGCATTGTTGCTCATATATTAGACTAACTTTCAGAGTATTCTATTTCCACAATTTCAGCTTCCAAAATCGATATTGTTTGTAATAGCACCATAACTGCACTATTATACCTTTTGTAATGTTGTTAAATTTAACGGAAAATACGTGTTATCTACTACAACTCCTTTCGGATAAAATTTATTTTCTTAATTGTTCAATATAGCTACATGCGATTTGATCTTATTTCATAATGCGTTAATAATTGCATATTATTGATATGACACCAATATACGGTTACAGATGATTTGTTTTAAAAAAATTCTTTTTAAAATAGCTTAGTTTATTCATATTCTTATTAAATTTGAATAAAACATTGAATTCCGCATGTGAATAGTCATTACAAAACTAATTTTTACATTTTTGTTGGTTATTGAGATTTTGCAGTTAATTTGTTGAAAAATTGTGCTCAAATGTAATGTTTTGAGCCACATAGATTAATCAATTTCAATGATTTCGTTATTAGTAGCTTATTATAAATTAATGATATAAGCTATTAATTTACTTAAAATATGAAGAACTGTATAATAAGAAGATGTGAAATGTAATAAGTTCAAAGCATAGCAAACCGATTTTAATGTAATTGAATATAATTAACATTAGCCCTGGCAAGAGTACAATATATACAGCCGATACTGTTAATCTCCAAGAATTAGCTAGGTGATTCACAATTTTGGAGATAACTGACATGTTCAAAGAAAACTAAAAAAAATTGTTAATTAATTATAATCCAAAAAATAAAAGATTGATTTTAGCTATTATTGAAAAGTAATGTTTTCATTGTACAGTTGCAGCAAAATATTCTGTATTCTGAATTCCATTGAGGACATTGACAACAATATCCGGATCATCGTTGACGTCATCAGCATCGAACATTGTCAAGAATCTCAAAACTTCTTCTCTGACATCTTCTCTTCTGGATATATCAGCAACAGTTCTTATCTTTGCGAAAGCCTTTCCAGGGCTCTTATCGTTCATGAGCTGAATGTTTGAGCAAAGCTTGTTGTATGCAGAGATATATGCTGGGCAACCAAGACATATATCACCTTTAACAGTGAAGACGGGGTCTTCAAGTTGGATTTTGGCCTTTGGAGCTTCTGCAATGCGGAGTGTGGAAAGATTTACGTAGTCGCATGTGAAGTATTTGTAGAACTCATCATCCTGATGCGATGCGACAATGAATGGAATAGAGGTAAGAGACTTACAAATGGAAACTGGAATGGAAACCATGCCCTCGGAAGCAGAAAATTGCTCGGATGAGAGTAGTGCTGCAGCGCAGTGCTCGAAGTGATCGTAAACAGCGACAGCTGATTGGAATCCGAAAATGATAGCAATTTCATTAGGGAATTTCATACAAATATCGACGTAATCTTTAAGGCCTGATGGAGTGTTCCAGATTTTGTGGATCTTTGTACCTAATGCAGTGAGGTTTGAACGTAAAAGAGAGTCGTTAGGAGAAATCTGAGGAGGAAATGTTGGAAGAGCAACAGCTGTGAGGGATAAAAACCACTGCTGAAGCAATGGGATGTATGGAGCAAAGTCTGGACGATGAATCTTAAGGGCTCTGAATGTCGGAACAGCCATGAATGTCAAAATTTTGTTGAAATCTGTAATTTCTAATTCATGTTGTAAGAAGTTTATTGGGACAATGAGATATTTCTGAAGGTCATGAGCAATTTGAGCCTTTAGGAAGAAAACTGTAGCTGCCATTGAAAGAGCTGTAGTCTTGCCTGATTGCATTGGTCCAGTAATAGCGAATTTGAAATCTTCTGCCTTGAAACCTTTGACTTTTTCGATAATATAATTGTACATAATTTGCGAATTTGGATCATCATGAATATCTGTTGTTGGAGAGATAAGTTCTGCTACTAATGAATCTTGGAAGAGATAAGACTGTCTCTCATTTAGAAGTTTGGTTAAAGCGTCAGATTCTGGAAGTTGAGCTTTAGCTTCTGGAGATAATGTAGTATAAACTGAAAGAAGAGAATCTATCATATTTTCTCGAACTGTGTTTGGTGAGGCTGCAATTGCTTGATGCTCGGCTATATTTTGAGCATGTGGTTTTGTTCTAACTTCTTGCTCAACAAGAGGGAGAACAATTGTTGGTCGGGTAGGAGCTGGAGTGCGAATTTTATATAATGGTTGCGTGGATTCGTCTACTGGAAGCTTAGCGCAACTTACATATATTATTATTTCTTCAGGAAGGTTTTTCATTGAAGTAATACGATTCATGTTTTGATCGAAAAGCTGTGTGGGCTTTCTCTTCAAGTCAAGGGCTTCACGAGCATTAACCATGAAATCTTCGATCTTTGAATTGTATTTGCATTCTACGGCAGTATCCTCTGGAAAATCAAGCTTGCAAACTTTAACTTTCCTTACACGAGCTGTCGTTGCATTTCTTGGAGAACGAATGCGCGGAGATTGAAACATTTCTAATTTATCTAAATCAAATTTATTTTCACTTCAAGCCGTTTAAAATATTTCAATCTTTTCCAAAGTTATTTAAGCATACTACTTCAAGTGATTATTAATAACTATATTTGAGTTTCATTCATTAAAATCTGGGGTTGAATAATTTTTAGATAGTGATTTTGTGCGAGAGAGATGTAGTCTATCTAAATGCCTCCCACTCTTCAATTCCCAACTTTAGAGAAGAAATAGGAGCGTGCAAGGCATTAATTATAGTTCAATGCTTTGAGATCTCCTATTCCCTCTTGAAAGTTCGAAAACTAATTGCAAAAAATTGATGATTTCAAACTTTCTCAAAGAAATTGAAGAGTGAGATGTATATAGCCTATTTCTGTCTCCAACTCTTTAATTCCCACTCTAAATCATATTTTTCTCTTTATTTTACTCAGAATTTTTCTTACACTTTACTAAATGTTTCATGACACTTCGTATTTTCAAAATACCACAATATATATGAAAAATGGAGGTAATTTCGCGTGATAAACATTCATTTAGTATAAATAATTAGTAAGATATAAAATTATCTTCTTTTAACAATAAAGGAATATAGTGTAAGAACTAGTATTATGCTTTGGATAGTTTTTCAACGCCCTTTGTAATTTTGGCGGCAAGTTCTTCGCATGCCTGCATTTCTGAACGGAGTTTCTTGATTTTAGCAATATAAGCTGGAACCTTAGCCATTACACGCTTAAGTTCTTCAAGTCCTTGCGGCTCAATCTTTTTAAGAGATTCTAAGCACTCGTTTTGTAACAAAATAACTTGATCAACTTTTGTTTCAAGAGGGTCTAAAGGTCCATGTGTAACCTCAATAAGAGAACCACTTACCCCTTCCATAATTTTTTTTTGAATAAAATTTTTTTATGAGTGAAAGTAGATACGAAAACTTTAAGAAATATTTCTTCGATCCAAGCCCAACAAGCTGGATCTGTGAAATAGATAATGACTATTTATTGTCACAAGTCTCTTACTACGGCTTAAGTCAGTATATTACATATTATTCCCATTGCTGTGCTGCCTTGCGTGGTAAAAAGATCGATATCAGCGAATGTGATGATGCTAAAAAAGAACGATTTATTAAGAATTGCATTAAATTATACGGTTTACTGCACGGAAGATTTATTTTAACAGAAGAAGGCTGTTATCAAATGGAAAAGAAATACATGGCAGGACTTTTCGGAACATGCCCAAGATACAGCTGCAAACGCCAAAATCTTCTTCCAATCGGACTCACAACGATTCCAGAAACTGATACCGTTAAGTTATATTGCCCAAGGTGCCATGATATATACGAATCTACATCCAACTATGATGCTGCATATTTTGGGCCCGATTTCCCAATCATGTTCTTGAAAATGAACAAGATGCCGTTACATAATAATTTCATACCATTCAATGTTAATGCTTATGCTAACAATAAATTAGGTGCGCCAGATGTTGAACGCCGCCTTGTAAGATGGTCAGAGAAAGCAAAAGAAAAAGATGATGAACAGAAATAAAAGTGTTTTATATCGTTGAATTTGAAATTAAACTTATTTTAATAATTCAGTCTAGTAGAGCTCTTGTCGTTCAAAGTTCCGCTTTCTAGTTATAAATGCGAACAGTGTGACATTTTGGGAGACTCGCGAATACAAATTTCCCAGGAATGATGCATCTCGAGCAACATGAGAGCATATTGCACTCTTGTTGTCGTTTCTCCCGCTGCGGGGGAACGATTGAAATGTTATTGTTTCTCACTATTAGCAAGCATATCCTATATAGTAGTGGCAGAAAAAACGTAATGAGTTTCCATTAAAATAATGACTAATAAATTTTATTACTTTTGAGGTTCGTAAATAATTGAATTCAATGTTTTTTTTAATGTCACTTTTATAAAAGACGTTTAAAATAATAGTATTTTAATGTCTAAAATTTCGGGAACAAGTAAAGAATTACGTATAACTCGACACTGCGAACTAAATAGATTTGTTGCTCTTGTTGATCAGAGAGCAAAACATTCGTCAGGCCTAGCAATTCACCAAGATATTATCCCATGTAAAACCGATTTTCAAAATAAAAATCAAAATAAAGTCGCAAACATCGAGAAATCAAAATATTATCGCCAAGCAGAGGAAAATTATAAGAATAGAGGCAAACCAAATCCCGATTTGATTAGAAATATTAATGCTAAGAAAGAAGCAAGTGAAAAAACAAAGAAAAATCTTAAACAATACCAACGCAAATTGCTCCAAGGAACAAAAACAGTCCAATCTTTCGAAGTGGCATCTCAACAGCCAGATGCAAGAACTCTTGCAATAATTCGTCACCTATATCTTGTAGGTGCTCTCCCAGAAAACTTACAATTTAATTAACATGTATTTTAATGCTATTTTTGTGTCGAATAAATTTATTGTTTTGATTTTTTTTTAGAAGTAGTAGATGGACTACTTCTGTTCAAATCTGAGATCTCTAGATGATCTTATTTACTATTATGACTTGTTTTATTTATTTTGCGGTGAAATCTAATAAAAGAGCATGGCTAAAAGTGTTAAGTGCTCCCTTAAATTTTAAAAGACAATTTCATATGAAAAGTTAGCATTTCAAGACCTAAGTTCTTACGAAACAGCGAGCGAAGCGAGATGCTTTAGTTGAAGATTTGGATCCAAAACTTCTCTTATTTGTTCCGTAAATCGAAGCTGCACGCGAAGCGAGCTGCTTGAGTTGATATTTTGCATCCAAACTCGCATCAATTTCATAACAAATTTAAAATAATGCAGGGAAACAATTCCCACTTACAAGCAAATCCAATCGCGCGCTTCACCGGTGTGTCATTTTTTACAGGTTTGTCACTTTTAGCTGAAATTACCCCTACTAAACAATTACAATAATAAATGTCACAAAATTTATAATCTTTTTGAACAACTTCATCGTTTTTCCCAAAAGTAAAATTCTCAAAATTGAATTTAATTTCTGAATTTGAGAAAGAAGAACGGTTTTTCAGTATTTGAGATGATGATTTCATTTGAATCTAAATCATATGTCTTCACTTGAAGAAATAAGAAAAGCAGAATATCCTCAGTTAGAGGATGTCATGTTCTTTGACTTTGCGGGATCAATGCCCCCTTGCACAAGTCAATCGAAGAAATTAGTTGAACTCCAAATGGAGGGTGTCAGCAATCCACACTCTCAGGCCCAAATAAATAGATCTACACTTGATATGGAAGATATGCGATATATTATAACCGATCTCTGCAAGACCTCTCTCGAAACATATGAAGTTTGTTTTACACAAAATGCTACACAAGCAATTCAGAAGTGGTCAGAACTCTTCAATTGGACAGAAAAATCACATTTCTCATACTTAATTGATGACCACAACAGTATTCTTGGCGTTCGTGCTATGGCCACGAAGAAAGGTGTCTCCGTTTCATGTGAAAAGGGCCTTCCAGAAGTCAAAGAAGGAAATCGTTGCGTTTTTGCCTACCCAATGCAATCTAACTTTTCTGGCAAGAAATATCCAATAGAATGGATCACAGAATACCAAAATAAGGGAGGCTTTGTCTTCCTTGATGGTGCTGCAGCAACTGCACCAGACTTATCTGTCCATAAGCCTGATTTCGTCTGTCTTTCCTTGTTAAAGTTGTCAGGCGCCCACGGTGGTGCTCTTTTAGTTCGCCGTGATCGCATTGACATGCTTGGCGAGTCAGTTCCAGCCGGCGGCAACGTCTTATTCTCATGTGCAAGAAGCGGAGTTTACAAATTGCTTCCAACTCTCCACCAGCGAATCGAAGCCGGCACTCAATCATACATCGACATCAGCCTTGCTCTCAAAGGTCTCGAAATCCGTCGTAAGATCGGAACAGAAGACGAAATCAAGTCAAGATTATCCGAAATTTTATCCAAGTTCTACAACGACCTCAAAGAACTCAAACACAATACAGGTTTACCACTTGTCCATTTCACTCCTGAGCGCGAGGATTCTTACGGCCCAGTTTTTTCTTTCAATCTTTTCGATGCTAACGGCTACTTAATCTCCTACCAAGACGTACAGTACTTATTCAGTGTTTTCAACGTTGTTGCGAGATTCGGCGGCCACTGCAATCCAGGCAGCGGATTCCCTGCACTCGGCTGGAAGGAAGAAGACATCGAGAAGATCGCCGAAGAGAACGAGAAAGGCGGAAAGTGCCTTTCCTCTCTTTGCGAGATCCAAGGACGTCCTGTTGGAACAATCAGAATTTCATTTGGTTCGACAACAACATCCAACGACTGCGATCGCCTTGTCGCCTTAATGAAGCACCATTTCCTCAACGGCGGTCCATGCCCACCAGTTGGAGACGTAGTTGTTCCGATGACAATCCAGAGGCTGTTTATTTTCCCAGTCCAATCAGCTCCAGGCTTCGAAGTGAAGGAGTGGAAGTTGACTCCATTCGGTTTGCTGCACGACAGAATGTGGAAAATCATGGATGCAAGTGGCGTACAGCTTAGAACGACAAACTGTACACAAGTTGCAACATTGAAGCCAACTGTCGAAGGAGATAAGCTCAAACTTAGAATCAACGGAGAAGAAATCGCAGTTCCAATTGATAATTTCGAAGAATTGGCTGAATGTCCAGAAAAGGTCAAAGAAAGCGGCCAAGTATATAAGGGAGAGGTCAATCACTTCCTTTCCAAGCATTTAAGTAGATGCTGCTATCTTGTTAAGTGCGATCCGACAAAGATTGGAAAGATGGCATTCTCCGCTGTCACAGAAGAGTCAATGCAACACCTGAACCCTGGTTTCGACATCTGGAGACTCAGAATCAACCTCCTTTTGAACGGAGCTCCAGCATTTTCAGAAGAAGGTGAAGTTAAAGGAAAATTGCAGATAGCTGATGTTCCAATCACTGCTTGGAGATGGAGAATCATTTGCAATACTTCTTCTGTTGATATAGAAACAGGAATTTCTGATAAGTCAATCTTCAGAGAAATTTTGAATGAAAGAAGTAGAAATGGTGCTTTCACGTTTGGTGTCCTATTCGCAACTAACACAAATAGCCAAATAAAGGATATCAAAGTAGGTGATAAGATTACAAATATGTAATTTCTTTATTTTATAGATATAAATATAGTTTCAAATGAAAATTATTTTTTCATATGTTCTAACAAAATATCTATTCTGAAAACAAAGATTGTTTCAAGTTATTAAGAACAAAGTTTGACTCAGAAATAACTCCGAGTCGTGAGTGAAATATCAAACACCAGATGAATATTGCATGAATCATGCAATTATTTCACACAACATTAATTTTTTTACATTCTTGATGAATGAATACAATTTAGAGATCTTGAATTATTTTGAGTTTATTTCTATCAAACTAATCATATCAATAAATGCTTAATTTATTCGGCATTATTTGATATACCATCCTTTTGCGAATATTTCCTATCTCTTGGTGCAAATATATCAATGAAAAAGATGAAAATGGGAAAACTATTCTTCATTATGCAGCAGTTGAGAATAGTAAAGATACAGCTGAACTTCTTATTTCGAATGGTACGAATATCAATGAAAAAGATAATTATGAAAGCATTCCACTTCAAAAGCACTAACCACGCTCCAGAAAATCCCTTCCAGAAGGCCATATTTCATTCTTGTTGCAAACCATCTTCCTACCCCTTTAAGCGGAATGATTATTTCGCTTTTTTCTTCCAAAATTATATCTAAATTCACAATGCGATCTTAATCTAAATGCATGAAAGAATTACATCATTACAAGGAATTTGTGATAAATGTCACTTTTCTGCTATCGGCTTTTTTCGTTCACTGAACAAAAGTGATAAAATTTTATTAAAAAGATGGATTTATTACATAGTTTTTTTGCATACAAATATAAATATGACCTGTCATTTATTAGACCTGATGTTGAAAATGAGCCATCTTATTTGAATCTTATATTCCCTTACGACTGCCGTTATTTTTCAACAAATGACTCCAATCACCGAAAACAAATTCCTTTCACTGAAAGATCGGCTTCAATTTCCAATAAAGCGTAGTAACTACCTCAATCTAGCAGTGAGTTTTAACCTTAATGCTGATGAAAATGTAATTGTACTTGTCCCAATCATAAGAGAATCTGATAGAGAAACTATTGGCTATTTTAAATGTTATTTAAATTTTCCGAAATTCAAATCTCTAAAAATTTTACTGATGCGTTTAACTTTCATGGATGCTGAAGGTAACTTAACATTTTCAATTACACGATTTGAATATATTGATCTTCCAGACAATATTAATTTAGAAAAAATACATCATATAGATGACTATCCGAGGGCGAAAGATGTCGGTGTTAGCAAAATAAGTTATTTCTATTTCCATACAGAAGAATCACTGAAAAAGGCTTTCCCTTTCTATTTAGGAATTTTTTCACTAAATAAAGACAACCAAATATTTTACTATGAAATATATCGCACACTTTTCTTCAACATTCCTATATTTAGAAGATTTGATATTAAAAAAAGAATCTATTCCCAACAAAAGAAATCTTCTAAGAAAGCTCTCATGCCAGCTAAAAAACACACTGGCTACTCTCAGCTAAAATGAGATGCTGATAAACATTACAATGCTATTAATGTCATTCTCTTTTTGTAATATGAATTACGATTCTTCTTTAAAAAAGTGACTAATAAATCTATATGGAAATCAGGAAAAGTATAAATTTGAGGATTCGAGTGCATCCTCATGGATATATTCCAGATGAAAATTTTAGTACAGTTACAGTTAAGACTTCTCATTATGAATTTACATGTAAAAGATCCATTCTTACTAAACTTTCACCCCGATTTAAAAAATATTTAGATTCGAAACCAAACATAGACATAATTAACCTCAAAGATATTATTTCTGCAGATTACAGTTCGTATTTGGCATTTTCAAATTATATAAATGGAGAAAGTTTAATTATTAATGATGAAAATGTAGAATGCATTTATAATTTAGCAACAAAATTTGGTTTTCCTGTGTTACTTAGTGTTGTGGTTCCATATTACTTTCTAGTTGATCAATTAGATAAATTAGTCAATAATAGCGAAATTATCGCACAAACCAATCCATATAGTTTAGCAATTGCTCCTATTTTCCCACTTTTCCGTATCGCATACAAGAAAGAAAGGTTTCCTTATGAATTTATTGTTAAAATTTTGCAATCCTCAAAGCTATACCCAATTTCATCCGAAACTCAACTTTTATCGCTATTAATATGCCTAAAATCTTCTAAGCAACGTGATTTTTCAAACAAGCGATTCACAGTTTCAGAAGATCTGAATTCTAAAATAAATGAATATACGAAAGGCCTCTCAATTACCGAAAAGCAAAATATTAACAGAAGTCTTTCATTTTATAAGTCAGTTGAACCTTATTCAGCAATAGAAAGATTTGAAATCCAAAGTTGTTGGAATAACTATGTTTCGAACTTGTCATCATATCCATTTTCATATGGTAGTTCTTATGATTCGACAGATTCCCTAAAATATACACTTGAATATGAATCATAAAAAAAAATTATTTCTTCTTTGTTATTGTTTGTATAATTGTAAAATATGTTTGTTGTTCATGTATTTTAATCACTAAAACTATTTTAAATCCACAATTCTAGAAAGAATTTCGAATTTTGGCAAAAAAAATTCACAATTTGCCTTCGTCCTCTATAGGATATTTCGTCTAGGCGAGATATGCTAGTTTTATTGAACCAAATCGGACTCATGAAAGAACCTGATAATTCAAAAAAGTGACAAAATGGATTCTGAAAATGAATATGATGAGAAATGGACAACTGAAGTAATAAATTTAAGACCATTTGATTCATGGTCAAAACATTCTGGAAAGATTGTTATGCTCACACATGTATCAATGGCTTATAAAACAGATTCAGATGATAACGTTTTCGGAATATTGACGGCGGAGACTTGGGATGAATCTCAAGTTCTATGCAAACTCTTTCGAAATGATTTTTCCAAGCCAATGAAGATAGTTTGGTCGCACTCACAATCAGTTTACTTATCAAATAAAGGAAATCGCGAAATTACATTAGTTTTACTAACAAAAGAAGTCTCTTAAACATCTGGTTGATTTAAATCAAATTTAAATCGAAAATTTCATTCTCATTTTAACTAATATTGAATTATTACGTAAATCTGTTATTAAGGAAATAATTACAACATAAAAAATCATAGAAAAACTTAGCCACACAAAGATTGAAATTGAAATCAAATAAAAGAAAATTATTTTAGGAAAGAAATAGTCATATACATGTCCATACCCTTAAAAAACTAAAATTTCGGTGATCATGATTCTTTTTCTTAAATTTTTTTTCTAAAATTCTTTCTCTTTCTTTTCTTTGTGTATTTTAAGCTTTTTTTTAAAAGATACTTAATAAACAAATATTTATTTATACTATATACAAATAAAAAAAATTAATAATAAATTACCGCTTTGGAGCTTGATGTAAGCTATTTTTGATATTTGATTGCTTGAACTTTTGTGCGTTTTGAGGCAATGAATTTGTATCAAATTTAACCTCTAAATCGAAAGCAAAAGTTCTATCCAAGTATTTTGTGCTTATTCTAGACATTCTGTCGACAATCTCATAAGGAATAAACCAATTGCCGCATGAATCATCATTTTTGGCAACATTTTCTGGAGTAAAAACTTGATTTAATCTTTCAATGGGAATTTGATCGATATCAATAACTTTTGAGGTTCCATTAATATGTTCCAAGACCTTTACAACTCCATTCACGATCAAAGTTGTTCTTTCTGGATCAGTTGGAACTTGAATTAAAGAATATGTTCCATTTTCAGAACAATATCTGTAATCAATGCATTTGAGCTTTGTTACAGGCACAGAAGTTGCGTAATCTACTGTAGAAGGAATTGCCGGACATAAATCAAAATTATTTTTTGATTTCATGCAAGAAATATCAACACCAATCCAATTTTTAGGATCCAATGAGTTTGGACATAATTTAAAAGCTTCATTTCCAGATAATTCTCCTGTAAAATAATTTATTGTATTTCCTGTTGAAATTGACTTGGCAGGACGAACAATAAATCCACCAGATGGATATTTCATGTAATCTACTTTGATTTTTCCACAAGAAGGTGTAAAAGTGTCAGAATACCCAACAATAACAAAGTTCATTGGGTCTCCAGCTTGTAGATATGGTGGAACGAAGAATTCTCCTGATGGTGTATAGCTTTGGTCGGTCGTAACTTTGCAGTAAAATGGATTTTCGTCTGTTGAGTCTGGACAAATAACTGTTTTTGATTTGCAAGGCTCTGTATTATCGTTTTCGGCACACAGTGTATATTTCTGATGTAATGGTTCAGGCATGGCAAATAAAAGAGGTCGTTGATATCGGATAAGTAATCTTTTGATGTCTTTGACATGAGTAGACCATCCTGTAAGATTGAAATCGAATTTTATGTACTCTTTTTGATTTGAGGCATTGCAATTTTCAATTATATTTTTACATATTGAGTTTGGAGCTAGACCTTGTAAAACATCAGCAGAATGATTTAATAAATTTGGTATGAGGGTTAAACTGCCTTCTTTTTGATTGACAGATTTGATGTATTGACAAGCTTTTGTTGAATTTACTTTCGGGCATTCCGTTGCAATTTTATTCATCAGGAATAGTTCTGACATCTCTAAATATTGTGATTTCAGAGATTCTATTGCGGAATATGTAAATTGATATCGATAAATCGATTCCATATAAGAAATAAAAGCGCTAATCCATGAAAAACCGTAGGATTTGGTATCCTTAACTGGAACATCGTAGTATTTATCAACTGAATAATATTCTGGGATCTCAAAATTCTCTGTTGGAATTAGAATTATTGGATCGCTTTGTGTTAGCATTGAAACTAAGGCAGATATTATAGTAACTGCGCAAGATATTGACACTATACCAATCAAATTTGCTTTGAAGTTTTTCGGATTTAGAAGAAACATTTCCAACTTCACAGCAATTTGAAATTGCACAATGTTGGGTATTAAAGCATTGAATATACACTTATAAAAATTTATTTATTAGATCATATCTCAAAAGTGAAATCAAATGAAATTCAAACCTTTTATCACAAAGAATGTTCATATAGGATTTTGAAAGTGCATATCGATTTATAATTTATCTGAAGCTAAAATTGAGAAAAATACATTTACTAGACTAAAATTAGGATTATAAAACTTGTTTCAAAGTAATATGCATATACCATCTGAAGTATTCTGTGGTACTACTTCTTTCACAGCACCTTTCGTCTTTAGAAATTCAATAATTTCTTCAGTACTAAATTTTTTGGCATAAAACAATGGTGTCTGATGATGCTCATTCTCATAGTTTACATCAGCACCGAAATCATCGATAATCATGGAAACCAACGAATTCATGCAAAATCCTGAGCAAAAAACAAGCGAATCATTGAAATTACGATTAATTCCCATTTGAATTAAAAATAGTTCTAAATTGAACCACTCTGCGCAACTTCTTACATTGATTTCAATTCCAAAATTATTATAAAGATACATTGATTGGTCAATGCTGTGTTTTTGGATACTGTATTCCATGCATTAGCTATCGGATGTCATTGTCTGAAACAATTCATGAATTATATCAGGATTTGCCCCAAGAAAACTAAGTTGGAGGCAATTATTGCTTATAGATGCCCCATTACTTCGCAAAATTCGAAAACAGTTTACAGATCCATAATATGAACACCATTCAAGCAGAGATTTTCCATTGATTTGTTGATTATAATTAAAATTTTCATCTGACAACATATATTTTACAAAACTATCATTATCATCGGTCATTAAATAATACAACAGACTGTCTCTTGGGAAAATATCAAGTATCTGGTCAATTGTTTCATTTCCATAAACAGAATTTTTGAGGTCCCCTTTAATATTGTAATGTTTTATTACTAGCGCTTGAAACCTTCCAAAAAGGGAGTAATCACTTGCCAAAATATTTGGTTTGTAAAAATCATATAATTTTTTATAAAGTTCCCAATAAATTTTAAGATTGTGGTTGCCAGTGGTACTAGCCATTTCGATGATTTTCAGTACTTTTTTCAACGGAAGTTTATATTTGTCAATAAGTATATTGCAAATCGAATCAAAGAGGAGATTTATATCTGTGCTTTGGTCTAAATGAAAAATTGTATTGATTGTGTTGAAATTGTCACTAAATCTCTCCCTAATAAAGCTATTGTACTCTTCAAGATCTTCTCACAATATTTTGAACTCAATTTCAATACGCATTCAATAGTTTACTATAGAATAATAACGTATTATTTCCAAATATTAAATGATTTTTTAAAAAAAATCTGACAACTTGAAATTCAATTTTTTTCTGATGTGTTTCAGTCTTGTTTTCACTTGTAAGCATCAAATAATTGCTGTTCTAAAGCATGAGTGAAGTCACAAAACAATATTTGCTTTACAAATCTATATTCAATTAACTATACATGAAATAATAAATATATTTACAAACAAAATAAACAAATATATATAGTGGGCTATTGATCAGAAGAACGTTGGAATTGGATCTCCGAAGCGCCCACTTGTTTGTGAAATTGGTTTTCTTGGTTCGACAGAAGAAGATGCTCGAGGCTTAACAAGAGAAGTTTGCAAATCGTAATTGCCAGGGCCAGGTATTTGTTCACTAATATTTTGCCAATTTTCGTGATTAAGGCTGTGTCTTGACATAATTGACCTTGGCCTTGTTTCTATCAGCGGACTTTCGTATTTTTGGAATTCACATGGTCCTGGAGGTTCTGGATCTGGTTTTTTGAGATTCTTTGGAGCAGATAACGTGAAATCTTTTGGTTTGGTCTTATTTGGTGGCGATTCGATGTATCCTTTTTCTGGTATTTTCGGATCGTATTCATTTGGTGAAGGAGTAATATCTGAAAGTGTTTTTCTGGCTTGTTTAACTCGAGGTCTAAATTTATATCCATTTCCACGTCCAATAGTATCAGGAAGAGTGTATGCACAAGGATCTGGAACTTCTGATGGTTTTGCTTCTGGAAAATTTCGCCCGGTTTGATTTGCCCATTGTGCGGTTGGATTTCTTTCATATTCATCTTCTGTAGGGAAGTATTTCATAATTTCACGCTTTTTCATTTCTTTTTCTTTCTTTTTGAGCAATTTTTCTTCTTTCTTTTCCTCGTCTTCTGTTTTTTCTTTCTTTGGACGAGTTTTTAGATTAAAGCATGGATGTAACACTTTTGGATTCGCTTTACGTTCCTTTTGAGGCTCATCGTTGTCTTCTTCCTCTTCTTCCATCTCAGTTTTCTTCCTTTTCTTATGTAATATATCCTCCTGAACTATACCGGGTATGTAGTGCAATATCTTAGTCCGTTTTTCTTCATAGGAATAGAATGCAGGTCTATTCGAAAATGTACGTTTTTTATCAATTTCAGGATTTCGCACTCCAATCGTCCGTCCTTTTGCTTTCGATAGCTGTGGTGTGTAAGATCCGGGTCCAATATCAGCATCTGTTTTATATTGTTTTTGTAATCTGAATAATCTTCCTTCAGGATCGGTAATATAGCCTAAACAATCTTCTCCAGCATTTCCTGATATGGGAGCTCTGTACCCAGATTCATTTGCATCATCAATGAGCCTCTTAATTGATGTTGCAAATCGCTTCTTTTCATCATTCATAATTTTTTTTTCTTACATTGGCACTTTTTACAAAATCATTAGTGTAAATTTTCCTGGGTAAATCAGAGCTATGGATATGAAAGTGTAAGATGAAATTGGAGATTATGAAGAACTGATCTAGAGTCAGAACTTCGTAGCTCCCAGATCTTAAATAATGCAAAAAATTCAGTAAATGATATTTTTGAATTTTCTCGTGAGAACTAGAGAATGATATAAATGTGCTATGCTTATATAGCCCACCATCTAATTTCCCCTCTAAAATATGAAAAAAGAAATGATTCAATTGAACAGATCATAGGAAGTTTCTCATATTTAGAAGATTAAATGTTAGCTGTGGTGTACTTATTTAATGTTAATATATCACATATAACGATTCCTTATAGAAAGATCAAAATATTGAATGATAGAAAATTTATTAAATCTTTTGCTGATTAGCAGCAAGTTCCAACCTTTTGGCCTGGTGGTAGGGAGACAATTTGGATTGGAAGTGGATTACTATTAATTCCTCGTTTAACAAGAGTTTGTGCACAAAGAAGGAAGACTTCGTCAATTCCTATATCCTCTTTTGCACTTGTTTCAGCAAATAAGCAACCATATTGATTTGCTAGGTTCTTTCCTTGTTCTTCAGTGATATACTCAAGTTCCTTGAGATCTGCTTTATTGCCAACAATAACCCTGAGAAGGTTTTTATCACATTTTTGATCGAGTTCATTCATCCAAAAGCTGACTTTTTCAAAGCTTTCCTTATTTGTTTTATCGTAGACAATCAAAGCAACATGTGAATATCCAAAATATGATCTTGTGATTGCAAGAAATCTTTCTTGGCCTTCTGTATCCCATATTTGCATCTTCACCTTCTTATCATCAACATCAATGGTATGAATTCTGAAATCGACTCCAATTGTTGAGATGAATTGATTTGAGAATAAATCATCAGTATATCTTAAGAGAATGTTACTCTTACCAACTCCAGAGTCACCGATAATTATCACTTTGAAGAGATAGTCATAGTCTTGAGTGGACATCTTGTAATAATGATTTGAATAATCAATACGTTTTTTCAATTCAATTTTTGGTGGGAAAAACGGACGGTTTTGTCAAAACCAACGGTTATTGATTAATTGATTTTCAGATTTTAATGAAAATTTTGGAAAGTGAATGGAATAGGAAAAATATTTGGAAGTTAAGGAAGCAACTAAAATTCTGTTAATTCATTTACACAATTTTTTCAAACACAAGTGCACGTTCAATACCCTTACATCACAATGTAAACATCGTTGTTAAATAAATCATGATTTTTTATGTAAAATTAAAATATTTTGCACTTGGATTTACATAAAAATCATGTTGAAGCAATAAATCTTTCATTTTAGCATTTGCATCTATAAGTATTCTCAATACTCTATTAAAACTGTATAATTAAACAGTTTTGGCTGAATATTCGAACAATGTTCTCATTTTTTCAGGAGAGTGAGAGAAGGTATATCTTTTATGTTCTCTACATACGTTTTTATTAGGCTTTTCATGATTTTGGAAACTCAAAAAAAATTGATTATAAATTTTGCAAAGAGAGATAATTGGAGCGATAATATTCAATATCCTTTTTATAACAAAATAAGTGGCGTTGTTATATTTGGAATAACTGTTGTTATTTCTGTAAAAAAACAGAGTTGAAATTTTGCGCACGTTTATCTTTGCAAAGAATGAATCAAATTTTCAAAGAAAATCAAGCGCAATATTATATGAATACTTCGTCAACAAACCCAGCTTATTCTTCATGGACGTCAAGCAAAAATTTTGTAACGCAGAGTTCATCAGTTAAAGCCGAGATGGAAAAAATTCAATCACAACTTAACGAAAATCAATCTTCAGAAAATTACGATTCAAGTATGCAAAATAGAGATTCATCTTCAATTGCAAATGATATATTAGACTCAAATAGCGGACAAGAATCTGATATTGTTGCACCCTCATCTCCAAAATCAGGTGGGACAGCTATTACAGTTGTTATTCGTGTCAGACCTCCAAATAATACCGAGAAAAATGGACCACCCGGCCAATTAATTCGTGTTGTAGATGAAAAATGCTTAGTGTTTGACCCACCAGGAGAAAGACAGCAGAAACAATCATTTATATCATCATCGAGAGATCGATCTAAGGACATTAGCTTTGGTTTTGATAAAATTTTTGACGAAGATGCAACACAAGAAGATGTCTTCGATATGGTAAAGAATACTGTATTCCAGGAAGAAGGTGGACTCCTTGATGGATACAACTGTACAGTTTTTGCATATGGTGCAACAGGATCAGGAAAAACATTTAGTATGGCTGGTACCCAAGAAAACCCAGGAATCATGGCAAGATCTGTTGAATACATTTTCCAATCGATCCAGAACCAAACAGGTAGAAGTGCTAAGATATGTATATCTTACATGGAAATATATAATGAAGTTATTCGTGATTTGCTTCAGCCATCAGATGCGAAAGGAAAAGAACTTAAAATTGTTGATGACCCTCAAAAAGGAATTATTGTAACTGGATTGAGCCATAGATATCCAACAACAACAGCAGAAGTTCTTGAATTAATTCAGATCGGTAATGCTAATAGAACACAAGCACCAACAGAAGCAAATGCAAATTCCTCGAGATCCCATGCAATTTTGCAAATCATTGTTGAAAATTGCGATGATGTTCCTGGCCTTACGACTGTTTCAAAAGTTGGAAAACTCAGCCTTATTGACCTTGCAGGAAGTGAACGAGCAACAACAAATACAGGTGTTAGACTTCGCGAAACTGCCAAAATCAACTGTTCTCTTCTCGCATTAGGAAATTGCATTACAGCTTTATGCAATGGATCCTCCCATATTCCTTTCCGTCAATCGAAATTAACAAGACTGCTGATGGATTCACTTGGTGGAAACTGCAAGACAATTTACTTATCATGCATTTCTCCAAGCTACATGACATATGAAGATACATTCAATACTCTTCAGTATGCAAACAAAGCTAAAAACATCAAAATTAACATCAAAAAGAATACAGTTAATGTCAAAGCTCATGTCGCTGAGTACCAGCAGATGATTGAGAAGCTTCGTGATCAAGTTCATACTCTCCAGTCACGGGCTGTTAATCTTCCTTTAGTCACAAATTATGGAAGAACATGTGATCAATTATTGGAAATTCAGAAGCATAAAATAACATCACTTCTCAACAAGAGTTTTCCAAAATCAGATGCATCAATACAAGAAAAGTATGAAGCAGTAAGGAAGATTCCAGCTGTTGAGTTCCAAAGGAAATGCGCACAAAGAGTTGCTGCTTACACTCAAGAGAGCTTGAAGACAAGGCCAACAGATGAAACTCAGAAGAAATGGTTGGAAAGAGAACAACAAATCAGACAACTGAATTTAGAAATATATGGATTGAGATTAACAGCTGAATTGTATCAATCACAGCTTGATATTCAATCACAGCTAATTGATGAGATATCAAAACAACGCGCAAATCCAACTATTCCTAAGAAAGTTCCTAAAATCGAAATCCCAGAGCAAAAATTGGAATCTGATGCATCACATAATAATAATATTATGCTATCAGAGAATAGCGGCTTATTAAGTAGTGATGTAGATTCCAACGTCGCTTCCATTCCTTCGATTTTGGATTCTGTCAGATTATTAACAGATGATTTTGTTTCAGATTCACTGAACGAATCTGAATCTTATAAACCAAAACAAAACAGATTTGGAGCAAGGCCTATTTCTGCAAGAAGAAGAACAGATAATAGTATTGGAGGAATGCAGAACAATGCAGATGCAGATAATATGTCTATTTATTCTTCTGCTTCAATGATGTCTTCTGATGGATCAGCATTGAAGAAGAAGAAATCTATCAACATTAGGGAGCAATTCCAGATTTTGAAAGCTCAGAAAGAGAAACTACGACAGAGTGTGACTAGCCGTGGTTTAATCTGATTTGTGTAGTTTAAATCTTTTATTGTTTATTTGAAATATAGTTAAAAATTTATTTTATTGTTAGGAATTATACACTTTCGTTCTTTCGTAAAATTGAAAAGCATATTTAAATTGTTTGAAAATACTCATCATTTTGTTTTGTTGATGAAATGAAAATTATTTGACACGTAAACTCATATTTGACAGAAAAATATAAAATGTCAATGAATCACGATCTCATAGTTGAATGGATCAGATCCTTTAGCTGCATAGAGGAATCTGATTGCAAGACCTTCGAATCACTAAGCTCCGGCTTTGCTTTTGCAAAATTATACAATTTTGCAACTGATGGAAAATTTGATATGAACTCACTTCTTCAGCTTAAGAAAGAAGATGACTGGCTTACTTCCATGAAAAATATCCGTCAATTAGCAAAAGAATTCGAACCAGCATTCGCAGACAAAGGAATTAAAATTTCAATCGAAGCTACACAAGTTGCAAGGAGATCAAAACCAGAAGCATTACCTAACTTGGTAATGGCTGTGATCTGCTTCATGTTTGATTCGCCTCATAAAAAAGAAGTCAGCGAAATTACCAAGAAATGCTCAGAAGCATGCCAGAATGAAATCAAATCAATTCTCATAGCAAATAAAGTCAATACTGCAGGTTCAGAGCCGAAAGAAGCCGAACCAGAACGCCCTGCCCCTGTAGCTGAAACAAAGCCAGTTGAAGAGAAACCACAAGCTGCTTCCACAACAACATCATCCGCTGCTACGCGTACAGCTATCAGAAGACTCGAAGTAAAGAACCGTTCTTTGAATTCTGAACTTGAAAAATTGCAAGCAGAACTCAAAGAGATTCAAAACTCGAAATCAGAATCTGTATCATTACCACCAGAAGTTTTATCAGTTAAAAACGATTTAGAAACAGCAAAAGAAGAAAATACGAAATTACAGAAAGAATTAGCAGAATTCCCAGACATCCCAGACTCGGATAAAATAGCTTTACAAAATGAAATTACATCATTACAGCAAAAACTTGCAAAAATAAATGAAGATTCGAATGCTGCTTTATCTCCTGAAAAACTATCCGAAATGAATGACCCAGACGTACAGAACTTGCTCAAGCAGATCAAAGAAGCAGAAGATATTCTCAAACCAGAATATGAAAACGAATTAAGAGCAAAAGTCGATAAATTCAAAGAAGTAGCCACAAAAATGAAGAAATCTGTCAAGAGCAAGCAGAAAGAAATCGGAGATACTAAGCCAGAAGCAGAAAGTGGCGAATCAGGAGAATTAGAATCCCAAATTTCGGAAATCACAGCTCGTAATAATAAGATAAATACAGAAATAGTAGAAATAATGGCAAAATTAGACGCTATAGAGAAAAATAAAACAAAGAATTCTTTCCTCGAGCACTTGAGAACTTCAGATGCATTCCTTTCTATTCACTAAACATATTACTATTATTTTAATTTATATTTTTTACTGAACAAGCAAAATAAAAAAAAATGTCGGACAAAATTTATGAAAATATGCTTTGAATTGATAATGTTTAGACTTTTTTATTGCCTATGGCATGTAGTATCTTTGGTATCACTAATTTTAAGCAGATTCGATTGATTTCCATAATAACAGGAAATTTATGGAAATCGACTTCGTAAATATAAAAAATGAACTCAGGGATAATAATAATGTTAATATCAGAAACTGTATAAGAAGTTGAAAAACAAATATTCAATTTTATATTCAAAATTCTGTTAAACAGTATGAAATTTTAAGGAGTATTTGGATATCATACAATAGAAATATAAGATGATTCATTGTGATCTCCATTTCGTATTAATTAGCTAATATTTTGCAATTGTGTGTTTTTTTACAAATCAAGGATAACATAGAATTCGGATGCGCCAGGTGTTGTATCTACTTTCATTGATGCATATGTAATGGCCTTAACTTCAGTGCGGCGAAAATCTGCATGCTTCTTCATGTCAAATAACTCTCCATAACCAGTAGCCTCAATTTCGAGATTAACAAAATCGCATTTAGTAACTTTAATACGTGTGGCAACAAAATCTTCTGCATCAAAGACATAAAGCCATTCATCCAAGAAGTTATAAAGAAGATTTTGTGCATCTTTACCCTTAACTGAGATGCTGTGTGTTGTTTCTTCTTTGAAGTTGTCAGTTTCGAACATAACTTCAAAGAAAGCTTTTCCAAGTTGTTCTAATGTGACATCTGGCTGTGGCCCCCAAGCATGGAGTTGAATATCTGCTGGATGGTCTATGAACTCCCACTTAGCTTCAGTATACATTTAATTATAATAATTTCTCTTATTCTCAATTTTTTTCCTCATTCAAATCAAAATTTTGGGAAAAAAATTCAAAATTCATAAAAAATTCCGACAAAAAATAAGAAATGGTTGTTTTATTCAGGTTTCGGAATTTAAAAAATAACTCTAAACGTGGTATTTTACCATCACTAATCTGAGCGATATGGTTTATTAGCATGATTAGTTATTAATTGCTTAATGCTGAAGGACAATTAAGAATGGAACTGGCATTGCTGATTAAGATAGCAATCAGTCACCTTGCAGCGTCGGTAAAATTAATTTAAAAAAAATTTGAATCAAAAAAAAAATATTTAAAATTCATATAATCTAAGCAACATCGCCTTGATGACACGAGCCTCGAATGAAACTGTCTGGTGTTCTCTTGCCTCGTTAGCATCAATTGTCAAATCATTGATTGATTCGATCTTCTTTCCGTTCTTGTCAACGTTATCAAGGAATTCAATTATCTTGTTGAACATTGCATCATCAAGAACGCACTGTCTAAGTGAGAGGCATCTCAAAAGCTCGAACAAGCACTTCTTTGCGTAGAACCATGTATCTGCTGTAAGTTTCTCGTGCATTGGGTTAAATGCCTTGAATACGTAATCAATACCGAAATCGAAGTTCTTGTTAGCGCAGTAAAGAGTTCCGATGACCAAATGAATAATTGAAAGATGAATAAGTTTTGCGTCTTCATCTTCTTTCTTTTTGGCAGCCTCTTCTTCAGTAAGTTTATTAATAAGCGAATCTGCCTTCTGGTTTTGGTCCATAACAACATAAGAAACGCAAAGATTTGCAACGATGATAGCTTCGACATCGAGAAGGTTCTGTTCGTAAAGAACAAGTTGTTCGTAGTAATCGATAGCGTTTTTATATTTGCCTGGCTCCATGAAGAAAGTATGTGCAAGATTAAGCTTCCAAGTACGATGTTGTTCGCAGAAATCGATGTATTTGAGAAGAAGAATCTCTACAAGTTCGTAGCTGCCCATATCCCAGAAGATCTTGGCTTGGGCCATCAAAACTGGAATAAGGTCGTTAACTCCTGCTTCGAATTCAAGGGTAAGCTGTGTCTGGAGGACATCATCGTGAGTCTTACGAGCATCATCGACGGCCTTGTAAAGTCTACGAAGTAAATCTGCACGTTGTTTGCAAAGATCATCGAATTTTCTGTAAGCTTCTTCTTTGGATGTGGCACAGAGAAGAAGGGCATCGAGGAAATCGATCATTCCTGGGTCCATACTTTCATGTGCACGCTCTGTATTCTCAGCAAGTAAATCTGCAGCATATGTGTAATATTCGAACTTGCAGTAACCGAGAAGTAAGTTTCTGAATGTCTCTGGTGGTGTAATGTCTTGGTTGAGAAGGAATGAAAGCTTTGTGAAAGAAGATGTTGGATCATCTTCCATATTAACGATAGCAGTGTTATGGAGAGTAACAGGATCGAGATCTTCTTCATTACGACATGGTAATTCCTTAAGAGCTTCTTTAGCTTCTTTCTTATGATGCTGATCGTATTCAATTGCCGAAAGAAGGTTAACGCCTTCAACAAAGAAGGCATCACGTGCCTTGGAGATCAAGCCCTGAGCATCAAAATCAACTGCATCGCCAACAACGTTGCGAAGAAGCTCTGGATGAGCTCTTCCTGCTTGAGATTTGATTTCTGCAATCATTTGTTGGGCTTCTGTAATTCTATTTAATCTATAGTAGCAAAGAGCAATGCAGTATGCAACTTCTGGCATGAAACCGTGAACTCTCTTAATTTCCATGTAAACTTCCAATGCCTGCTCGAATCTGTCCTCCTTGTAGAGAATGCAAGCGTTGTCAAGCATAACGTTAACATCTGTTTGATCAGCTGCAGCAAGACCGGATTTTGCAGATTGAATGTCCTCTTGAGCATAACGAATAGCTGCTTGCAAAACAACGACTTGTGGCTTAAGTTCATTATCTTGAACGCCAAAGGAAACACGTGCTGCTTCATCGTATTGTTCGATTTTATATAAAGCGTTTGCATGATGGAGTTTGTATGAATCTTTGTTTGGATTTAGTTCGACAAGTTTGCCGTACTCAGCAGCTGCCTTCTGATAATCTTCCATCTGCCATGCGCAATATGCGATGAGAGAGTGGATTGCAACGCAGTCTTTGAAGTTGGAAAGCTGTATTTCAAGAAGACGGATAGCTTCGGTATAGTTTTCATCACCGATAAGCGTGTAAATGTTGCGTGTATGATTCTCTGAAGGGTTATTCATAAAAATAAAAAAAAATAACGTGCGCAAGTCTGTCCAAATGGAAATATTTTGATATGGATAGATCTGTTATTAGAGATTAAGATTATGTTTTTAGTTGTTGATTCCTTTTGATGATGAAAGAATTTAAAACGATTATTCCATTATATTGCCCGATAATTATTGAAATATTGAATTAAAATGTATGGATGGACGTCATAATTAATAAAACAATTTTTAGGAGAAAAAAAAATGGTTTAGATTAAGAGCGTTAGATAACTTGCAAAAATTTAGTATTGTTTTAATAGTTTTTTTATAATATTTACCAAAAAAAATAAATATATTTCCTTAAATCAAAAAGAAAATAATAACATTATTATATCATGGTCTTTTGAAATGTCATACCTCTAGCTTGAAGTTCCTTTTGCCATTCTTCCTTATCTTCCGCAAATTGTGCTGCTAAGCGTGCTCTTCTATCGCAAATAAGATCTGCGTGCGCCAGTACTTCTTCTTGGTGACTAAGTTTTGCATTTCTTCTAACTTCGGCATTGCGAATAAAGCTTGCGTGAGATTCACGGAACTTTGTTTCGTTTGCTTTTGAAAGATTAATTTTTGCCTGCTCTACAGCTTCAGCGTGGAGATCATTAGCACGTATTAAAGCTTGAATATTAGCAGGAACGCTTGGTTTACTTTGTCTCGACATTTAACTTTTTCTAACGTACACTTTACAAAGATATCAAGTGAGAAAGAGCTTCTGCACCAAAACAGTGACGGTATTGCTTAAAAATTCTCTAGCATATAGAGAATGGCAATGAAAAGAAAATAAAGCAAATAAAAAAGTAAATTGATTTAAAATTTCATTCTAAATCTAGATTTGGAACGGGATTAAGTCAGCATACTTGTTCTTATTTAAAGTTAACATCTACTCATCACTTAATACAACTTTTTAATAAATTTTATTTAGTCCTTTTGCGCATTTTCCTTTCAAGATACAAAATTTCACAATAGTAAGAACAATAAGTTATGCTGGAAGATGAACATCTTTAAAAAAATTTTCATTGATTTCAAATCTGAGTGAATGAAGGGTAGCTTAATAAACCTTTCTAAAGAAAATGTGGCACTAGACCCATATGTGCAAAGCTTAACAATGGAAAAAATCGAGGAAAAATCCAAACACACATTTACTATTGATGATAAATATTCAGTCAACAATGATATATACAAATTATATAGTCACAACCCACATTCAATTGATATAAATAAAAAATTAATAAAGGAAATCATTCAAAGCTATCTTTCAGAGGATGACATCAAAATTATTTCGAGTACACTAAGATGCCTTACATTAGTATTTCAAAATTCTTCCTCATCTAACTGTCCATTCACAAACTCAGAAGTATTAGAGATTATTAATCAATTTACATCTCAAGAATTTTTACAAGGAAAGCCAATTCTTCATGAAGCAATTCGACTAGCAGCAGTTTGTACCAAAAACAAAAAGTTTGTACAAGATATGAATGAATACGCTTGTATCAATCTTTTTCGGGACCTTGCTTTAAAAATTAACAATGATTCCATGATTTCATTATCATTAAACGCGATCAGTAATATAATATACTATAAAGACGTAACAGAAGATACAATAACATCACTATTAAATGGAACAAATGATATTTTGAAAAAAGTCTACCTAGACAATAAATATTACTATCCTGATGCATTATTTTCTCTTTTACACTTGACAAAGATGATAATAGATCAATATAATCCAGCATTAGAACTTTCACAACACAAAGTTATTCAATTTTTACCAAATTTCTTCGGACTGGATTCCGAAATCGTTATCAAAGCTAGTATCAGTCTTTGCGAAACATTGTATCGAATGGATCTTGATATTGATTCAGATTCAATTGTATTAATTTGTAGATTGTTTATTCGTGGAAAATCTAAATATAGAGCGGCATCAATCAGAGCTATCAGTGCATATTTTCACCATTTTCCTGATTGTTTATTTAATTTAGATCAAATTTCTTATTCTGATGAAGGAAGTATCTTTGATTTCCTTTATAGAAATGTTTTGCAAATTATCAGTGAAGGACCATTTAGTTTGTCTTCTTACGCGATTTCTATTTTGTATTCTATCTTGGAGTCTGATGTTTCTATATTAGAAAAGAACGGAGATTTGATTGTAACTTCTTTACAGAATGTTTTACTCGGTGTAGACAAATATCAAACGCTTCTTTATGGATTGGTTATTATTAAAGAACTTTGTTTGAAAAATGGTGAACTTATAGATTTATTGCAAAAGGAGTTGATTGACAATATCTCGGATTTGGAAAATGATGAAGCTTGTCAAATTGTTGAATTATTACTTTATGAAATGGAAAGAAACTGTAATTAAACTATAGTTTGTGTCTTTTAAATTTCTTCAGTCACATATTTGCATATTTTTTAAAAAAGATGTTGAGAAGCATCATGGTTATAACTTCTTTTCTATATTGTGCTCTCCTTCAGAATTATTTTAAAAAATTTATATCCTTTTGACTCATTACCTTAATAAACATCGTTGTTCCACTCGGTTCCTGTTAATATTTCTATTAAGTCTCTCAAACTTTGAAAAAAAAATCATTATTTCATTATAAATAATAAAAATTTTATTTTGTGCAGAGAGATTGTAGAGCTTGCGCCCATTGGTTGCAAATCGACTCTTTTTCGAAGGCTATTTCATATTTCTTTTCGCCCTGAGATGGATCAATTCGTATTTTATAGTATCCTTTATGAGAAAGAGCTGGAGAAATAATTGTATTATCTTGGATGATAACTAGCCCACTTATTGTAAGGCTCTCAGGAGATTCGCGCCAGATGATACAGCGCGCGGAAGAAAAGAATTCGAAATATCGCTTCTGCCACTTGCTGTGGCCAATTCCTCCTTTCTTAACACCCCATTCATGCAACAGTTTTGGAGCAAGAACAATTGATGCACCTCTGTTTCTCATCAAAGTAGAATTAGGAGTATTTTCACTTTTAGTGTCAATTTTGATTCTTTTCGTATTATGTGCTATTGTTTGATTGAATTTCTCAAATGGAGACTTCTTAAGACACATCTTTGAAAGATTATCAGCTTCATGGACAATTGAAAATGGCTGAGCTCCAGGAGGCAAAATCAATGATTGTTTCTTATATGGAACATATTCTGGTATCGATTCTTTCTTAATAACATCTGTCGGGGACTTGCAAAATCGGATAATTTGGTTTTCAAAAGCGAATTTCTCGCATAATGCAGGATATGATTTCTTAGAATGGGATTGTAGCAAGATGTTAAGCTCTTTATCCATCAAGAATAGTGTCAGAGTCTCTGTTGGAATGTATTGAAGCAATGTAGAGTTCTTTTTGCATATATTCTTCAGTCGATTCACTGCAACTTTGTTAGTTTGATCTCTTTTAAGGATTCTTACAATAATATCTGCTGTTTCTTTGGGACTTTTGGACAATTGGTTAAAAATATGATCCATTTGTGTCATTAAGAAGTCCTCGCATATTTTAAATTCAACAAATACTAATAAATCTTTAATACTTAGCTGTGAAAATGGAGAATCTTTTCCTGAGATGATCGACTTAATAAAATCTGAGTAATACTCTACTCTGAATATGTCAAGAGATAAAAAGAATGCATATCGATCGGAGTTGCATTCCTTGCAACATTCCAGACAAAAAAGAACTAATTCAAGTTTTGCTTTCTTAGAAAGCTGGTCAATAAAGAGTCTGGCGTATCTAAGTATTGCTTCTGTAATAGAAAGATGTGCGATTTCTAAATAATCGAGGTCGAAAAAGATATGAATTAATGATTTGCTGTATTTATGAAAGTTATTAAGTGTTTCGCATGGATTTGTCTCTAAATCTGAGTTAAACATCCTAATACCGCGTAGGCATTTCTGATAATTAGGAGAATCAAGTAAAGCTGAGTAATCCATTTTTGAAAGATTACAATTTTCAATGAACCTCTTAAAATATGTATAAAATTTATCTTTATGTCTTATAAGGAATCATGCAAGCTAGCGATTCATCACTTCAAGAAATAATTGATTTGAAAAACATAAAATCTAATAAAAATTCGCGAATTATTTTGTGATATTCCAATCATACTGTTCATTTCTTGTTTCAAATCAATTTTATATTTTTGAATAAAATGGGATGAAAATTAGTAGTATATGTGGAAGGGTTTAGTGACTTTTTTTGTCAACGTAAGAATTCATACAATATCGAGCGATTTTGTATCATTTTTTTTAACATATGAAGTAAAAAATGTATGATTCTTACGTTTTTTAAGTCATGAATTCATAAGAAAGCGCGACATTATTAAATAAATTAGTAATAAATATTATATACTAAACACATTTTAAAATAATTTATTTTTTTATCTTTTATAAAAGAAGCTATATATAGATGATGTCAGATATTCCGCGATTAATTAAACATTGTTTAAATCCTGAATGGGTTAAACTTTAATTTAAAAATGAAGATTGTGAATTATTAAATGAATATGAAAGCCAAAATAAGCTAATGAGGTATAAATATAATGATAAAGAATATTTAATTTCATGGAATCAATGGAGTCATAATCAAAGACCTCATAAACGAGTAAAAGAAATTGAAAATAAACTTCTTACGAAAAATTAAAACTTAGTTATGTTTATTATTTTATTTTTTATTTTGTATGAAATGAGCGTCAAAACTAACAACGTTAAAAAATTAGGATTCACAAACGAGGAAATAAAGGATATATTAGAGGAGGTGGGTTATGAAGTTGATAAATATTATTTAAGAAATTGTAAAAAATTCGCGGAGTTATTAAATGATTTAGATTATGATGGAAAAATGAATAAAGATGATGTTATAAATTTCTTATATCCCACATCTGAAGAAGAAAAACCTAAAGAACCTGATGTTTTCCCTGAATATTATGAAGAACGGATTAAAGATGATGAATACAATGAAATTGAAAGACTGAAAAAAATAAGAGATGAAATAGATGAAAAAATTAAGGAATTAAGAGAAGTTGAAAAATATAATGAAAATGAAGTAGAGGGTTTAATGAATATCCCAGCTTCAGAATCAGAAGTACAGAAATCTCATGAAGAAAGATATAAAAATTATGTCTCAGAATCAACACAAAATTTATTAGATGGTGAAATAGACGAAACACTTTCAGAAGAAGGTACTAAATTTATTCGTAAACATAAGTTACAATTTATTGATAATGAAGAATACCCTTGTATCTTATTTTCACCACCTTTAGATTCCGAAAAATTCAAAAAAGCTCTTAAAAACGTGACATATGCAACTAATACGATTAAGAAAGAAGATCATGATATTTACACAAATTATTATTTAAATAAATGCACAGGTGTTGATAAAGTTTTTGATTTATTAGATAAAATATCAAAAGAAACCATTGGAACCTATAAAATTTTGTGTGATTGTGGTTTCATTATTGAAGATACCAATAATGTTTCATATGAAAGAACAGCACCGAAGGAAGACGAAGTGGAAAGGTCTATACCATTCGTTATTAAGAATATAAAAGATATGAAAACGTATAAGCATTATATTTATTCATTTATTTCAGAAAAAATGGAAGCAACCCATAAAACATCTTCTCATCATTTTATAGCTATTCATACATTCCTTTTCAAAGTTGTGAAATTAAATAAGACAGGAATTAGATTTAATGTATCAGGGTACGCATTCTTGAGTAAATTAAAATGTATTCGTCACGTCGCAGATGATAAAAATTTATGTGTTCTTAATTCATTTTATGGGCTTTAAAAAATAAACTTTATTTTTATTTATTTTTTAATTTTTTATTCTTACATAAATGAACAAAAACGGAACAGCTAAAATGAATGATAATCAAATTAGAGCAGAAGGTAGAAGGTTATTTAAACGCTTCTATAACATTCTGATGGTGTTAATCCTAAAACTCGTAGAAGCTATTTAAATGAAGCAATAGATGCATATGACGGGTTTGACATTTCATCAGAAAGTGAGAGATTAGCGAGAATGTTAAATGTTAATATTGATTTCTATTATTGTGATCCTCAACCAGAAGACGTGGACATAAATAAGGTAGACTTTCCATTAGTGGAATCAATAATGATAGATCCAGAATTTGAAACAGTAAATATTTTATTAACACAGAGTCCATGTGGAAAACTTCACGCTGATAGAATAACAGACGTTGAAGCACTCACTGGCTATAAAGTTTGTCCATATTGTAAAGAAGAAGTTTATTCTATCCGTGATGATCCAGAAAGGAAAAACCAAAGAAGATTTTTAAAGCATTGTGAGAAATGTAAAGAAAATAATGGAAGATTAATTCAAGACGTTCAGTTGCAAAAGACACAGCAACCATATGCACCACATATTACGAAACAGAAGATGTATCAGTGGTTATTAGCTCACAACTTGCAGAAATATTATAAACCGACAAGATATTATATTACTTTTGACTTTGAAACATTAGAGACTAAAGAAGAATTACAACTTTCTGAGTGTGCAACTTTGAATGCTTACTTAAAACCATTCATGGTATCATCAACGGTTAAATTAAACGATAAAACATATACGAGGAATTTTTGCTTAACTTCGAGTGATTCTTTTATTTCTGATTGGATTGAGTTTTTATTTTCAACCTGTTCATTAGTTGTTGAATCAAATATGAGTCAATACAATGAATTATTGAAGTCGCAAACGGCGGGGACTTTGTCTCATATATTAAATGAAAAACAGAAGGAAGCATTTAAAGAACTTCTAGATGAGGAATTCAATAAAGTGAATATCATAGGTTTTAATTCGGGAAAGTTTGATTTAAATTTAATTCTTCGTGATTTAAACACTGCAAAATGGAAAATAAAATCAATGCTGGGTTCATCTTCACAATTTAAGCAAATCATTGTAAAGAAAACAAACGTTCCATATGAATTGAGATTTATTGACATCAGAAATTATATAGCGGGTGGGACATTAGACCAATTCACTCAAGATTTCGGAAACAATAAATCACGTGTTAAATCCTTTTTCCCTTATCAATTCATCACATGGGAAAATTACGAAGAAGAATTATATAAAGAGGAACCATTCACGAAAGATTCATTTTATTCAGCATTAACCCAAGAAACTATATCAGATAGTGATTATCAAATATATCTCAATGATGCTAAAAATTTTAAGAATAGATTAGAATATTTTATTCATTATTGCAATAAAGATGTTGAAATTATGATTGACCCAATCGATAAAATTATTGAAGAAACATTTGTTTATAAAATATGACACGCTTCATAATCTTTCTTTATCATCGAATGCTTCAATGATTCGTTACGCTTTAGCATATAAAGACTTTAATCCTAATGAAAAATATCCTGAGGAAGAGATAGAATCAAGTTTTGAATTAACGAAAAAGTATTGGAAATATAAAATTGAATCATATAAGAAACAAGATGAAAAAGCAGAAAGGGATACTAAAAATAATGTTTCAATGGATGATTTTCAATACTATCACGATTTAATCCTTTCATCTAAATGCAAAATGTGTGGTAAAGCGTTTACATATGCAAATAAACCAACATTGGATAGAATCGATAATGAAAAACCACATACCAAAGAAAATTGTCAGTTAATGTGTTGTTATTGCAATGTCGTAAAATCAAATAAAGATGAAGATGTTCAACGTTTAAGAATCAATTTAAGAAATTATGCATTAAAAAATAATTTACCAATGACTTTAGATTCAGTTGAAGCTTATCACATTCTCCGTAATGGAATTACTGGTGGTTTATCAAATGTTCAACATAGAGTAAATCTTAAAGGAATCACGCACATTAATAAACTTGCATATAATCCAGAAACTAAAACTGTATCAAATGAGGACACCACCAACATTATGACTCATTTCGTTGGTGTTGATTTTAATTCATTATATCCTTCATCATTTTCATCTAATCTCATGATTTCATTCAATATACTGACCATAAAATGTATATGCCGGGAAGATTGAATGGTGTTATCATTTGTGATACAGCAACAAAGAAAGCAAAAGCACTGGGAATAATTAAGAAGAAAAATACTTTATTCGTGGCTGAAGTAAAGGGTCACATTGATGAAAAATACATTAATGATTACATAAACTTTTTACCGATAATAAGAAACTTAGATATTATCACAGATGAAAAAACAATTGGCAGTTTTATGTATAATTACATGAAATCAAACAATCTACCGGTTGACCAGAAACAGAGGAAATTAACTCAGTTAGCATCAACACACAACCAATATCAACCATTTTCTTCTTATTATCTTTGGTATCTAATAGACAGATTTCATTTTATCATTGATGACATTCAATCAATTTTAACATTTACTAAAAACACTTGTTTTAATGAATTTGCGAACAAATTTATGAACGAAAGACAAAAGGCTGAATTAGAAGGAAATAAAGGAAAAGTTTATTTTGCAAGATTTCACTTAATGGATCATATGGTTACGATGCAATGAATACACAAAATTACGCAAAGACTAAAATAATGAATGCACAGAAGGCACGCGTTGCATGTATGTCAAATAAGTTTAAAAACATAAGAGAAATAGGTGAAGATACATATCAAGTGATGCTTAAAGATAGATTTTATAGATGTGATACATGTTTACAAGAGGCATTCTTCACTTTAGATAATGCTAAATACTGGTATTTGGTTTTCATTTATGATTTTATGTATAAATGCTTGAATGTTAATCGTTTTCATTTCATTGAAGGTGATACTGATTCATCTTATTGGGCAATCGCTGGCGACCCAAATCTTCCTAACACTCAAGCATTTCAAGCAATTGTTACCGATAAACAATTTTATGATAAAAACATTTTCAAATTCGCACCATTTGATTTCTTCTGTTTTGATGAGAAATTTAAACCTAAATTAAAGAATAAAGCTGAAGAAAAAGCACATGAGAAGAAGTTATTGGGTTAGCAATTGAGAAACAAGGTGATAACATGGTTGCTTTATGCCCCAAGTGTTATACATCATTCAACGGTTCAATTGATGGAAGTGATTTTAAAAAGATTGCACAAAAATGAAAGGTGTTAGTTTACGACAAAATAAACAATTAACACCTAAAAATATTTGGATATAATAAATGATAAAGTGATATTTGATGGTCAGAATATTAATTTACAACTTAAAAACGGGTCAATGACTCGCCTTAACAATCGGTAAGACTGCATTAACAGGAGCACACACAAGGCTGTATGTTGTGAAAATGGATGTTGTATGCCATTTATTTAATAACAATTTAAAATTTTATTTTTTAATAAAATGCCACAGAAGAGACAAAAGGAACCGTAAATAATGGTTTTGATACTATGATTCAAAGAGGTGGGCACCCTTAAACATTTATTTTATTTTTATATAAATGGATAACACAGATTTAAAAAATTTAATTGATGATTTAGTACTTAATCAAAATTTTCTTAATTATTATGAATTAAAATCATATCTCCAAAAACATAATAACAATATAACGGGTGATGATATGGATTATTATTATCCATATTATAAAAATGAAATTTTGAAATATCATGATAAAATAATTTCTAAAATTAAAGACAAAATTAAAAATAATGAATATACAAAGGAAAAAACTAAATCACAACTTAAACAATTGAAAGATTTCAAAAATAAAGTATTAACAGAAGAAGATATTGATGAATTATATAAATTATATAATCATGAGCCGCAAAACACCCAGGTCCTTCAGACCATAAATGAAGCACAAGCTTTAATTTATGATTCATTAGTTAAACCATATTCAGCCCGACTTTTAAATGAAGATCAACTTTTGGAATTCATCCTTCAACATAAACTCGAAGCGGGAAAGTATATCAAACCTTTATATACAGCATATTTAAAACAAATGAATAGAATACATCCAGAATTAATGAAGGGGGGAATGAAATCCAAAATCAAAGCAGATAAAATTAAACCACTTGCAACACCAAAACCTCCAACGACAGTACCTCCTCCTCCTTCAGTTAATCCTTCATCATTCACTTTATTATATCCATTTCAAACATTAAAGAAGCAAAAAGATTTTAAAAAGGATTTCAAGATATTAAATAAACCAATTGACCCGAAAATTCAACCGTTAAAGGAAAAATTTAGTCGCCTTTCATTTGCTCCATATCCATATTCATACGAAATCGATCATCTGGAATATTCAAAAGGAAACGTTACTTATTTATTTGCCATTAACATTAACACTAGATATTTATATTGCATTCCAGTGAAAGGGAAAACAGAACAGGAAACAAGAAGAGCTATACAATACTTACTAGATCATGAAAGAGTAGATAATATCAGGGGTGATGGTGATAAAGGATTTCAGGCAGCTATGGCTCATTATTTCCCACAAATTAATTTTTTCTTTTCATCCTCTCCATATACGTTTCATAATAAAATAGTTGATGCGGTAATGAGAACTCTTAGAGATGCGTTAGGGGTTAACGGTCAGATATACTGGGATGGAAATCATGACTCCATCATACAACAGTTAGTATATTATTACAATAATACATGGCATAGAACTATAAACATGAAACCAGTGGAAATGAAAAATGATATTTCAAAAGAATGGGAATATATTAGAAAGCAAATGGAAAGGTTAAATGATGTTAAACGTGAACAAATTAATTCGGGGCTCATGAATTTTAAACAAGGGATAAAGTTTGATTCATCTCGATTATGGAAAAACTGATAAATCAATGACAAAAAGAAGACGAAGATTTGACACAATAGCTGAATTTGTTAGATATATTAACGGCAATGCATTAGTTGAAGTTGACAATAAATTAATAGAAATTCCGATTTATTTTATTACTCCATTATATTTAAATAATATTTAATTTTTTTTATTTCGTAAGAAATGAGTGACAACAAAGCAGCCAAGAGTCCAGACAATGAATATAAAAAGAAACTAAACAGAATTAAATCAAAAATATGCTATTACAAAAAGAAGCCGCAATGCGGTGGGGTTGAAAACGATAAAGAGAGGAAAGAAATAATCGAAAAATTAGAAACTTACCGTTCAATCCTTAAACTGAGTGAAGCAAAAATAAAAGAATTTAATAGAATAAATAAATTGATTGGAAGAGATGAATTTAATAAAGATGAATTTTTAAACTCAATCCAAATTTAATTTTTATTCCTCTTCCCGAACCCTTCTAGGTTCTTCTTTCCATCATTACTGCATAACCGCATCTTCTCGGTTTTCGTGGTTTGTTGTTTTTAATTAGTTCTTGCATCATTTTTATCATTTCCTCCCTTGTTATGATTCGTGGTAAATTTTGAGCTTGTGGGGTATCCATTTATATAAAAATAAAATTTTGTTATCAGTTATTTTATCGTTAATGTTTTAGGTTATTCAATAATTAATTATTTTTGAATAACTGAAGGTGTCACTACGTCACCATGTGTCACTCGGTTAATTAACTTCTCTGAAAAAATGAGACAACATGACATTTTGACAACACAGCAGGATTAAGGAGGAAGGCACTTATGAAGCATTTTTGAATAACTGAAGGTGTCACTACGTCACCATGTGTCACTCGGTTAATTAACTTCTCTGAAAAAATGAGACAACATGACATTTTGACAACACAGCAGGATTAATGCAAAAATAAATTCAAATCATACTTTATAAAGCTTCATTTACAGGTATTTCATCGTCAGTAAATGAATCCTCATTATCGTTTGGTTCAACCTGTTTATATAATCCTTTCATTTCTTCTTTCAAAACATAACAACATGTTTGTTTACCATCTATTCTTCTCTGTTTCTTATCACATTTATCTTTAATGCTCATTTGAAAGTTTTTGTCTTTCATGTCTGATGGTTTGCAGAATAGAGCATTTTCACACGTCATACCTGCACACAATTCATCATAATGTGTATTTATCCATACATCTAAAGGATTTGTTGATAATTCAATTAAATCTTGTTTGGCTTCAGTCATCGGTATGATTCGTACATTAAATGATGAAAGGTCGTAATTGATAAAATATGTTAAAAGGTTATCATAAAATTCCTTTGTGCATGAATTCATCAAATTCTTGAAGTAATCAAATTGACCCTTAAATTTACCATTAACTCTTAAAACTACGTATCTTCTGTCTCCAACTTCAATTTTGACAGGGTAGACATTATTAGTTACGAAAATGAAGTTTGCAACATTCTGAGCAGTTCTTCTGGGTTGATTCTTTTCATTAATTCTAATCTCATTATCCGTAATAATTGATTTCAAAGCGTTGAAGTTTGCGAGTCTGTCTTCACCTACATTCTTGAGTTCATTAAGTACAAGAAACATTTTATTCTCAACCACCGAATTGAAATTACCCGTTAGCTCACTTATTTCGGTAATGTTTTTACATGAATAACCAGCGAGAAGTTCAGAAATAATGTCTGTAAATCTGTTTTTACCTGTTCCCTGAAGTCCTTTCAAAATAATTGCTGTTTCATTCTTGATTCCAGGATGTTGAATCATTGATGCAATCCAGCCGAGAAGGTATTTATACACTTCATCGTTATTATCACAAATGGCTTCTTTAATGAAATTCATAAACATCTCAATTTTTGAGTAATCTGGTTTTTCGAGAACGTTGTATTTATAACCCTGAAACGTTGAGAAAACATCTGGAGAATCAGATTTAAAGCAAACACCCTTAACGGTTAATGAAGACAATTGATTTAATAGTACGTCCCATGCTGTTATTGTTTTACCTTCTTCTTTAAATAATTTAATCATTTTGAGTGACTCTTTCATGTTTGATTGAAGAACGAATGATATTTGATTCATTTTGTCGTGTATGTTGTAATCTTTCTGAATGAAGTATTTGTTTCCACAATCTACAAAACGGATTACATGTGATAAATCCTCAATTACTTCAGAACTGTTTTTATACTGATGATTTTCAGCCTTGCGTCTAATATCTGTTATCAAAACGAGTCATCAAGTTTTATATCAAATGTTATTTTTGGCTTACGTAATAAAGGTAAAACATATTCATCATAATATTCCTTTTGATAAAGTTTTAGAATCTTCACTAAAACAAATGGAGAAGTCATTAAATGTGCATATTTACTACGTGCTTTTTCAAAATTACTTTTTGCATTTTCAGTTAAGCTGCAGAAGTTTAAACGTTATCGTATGCTTCATTAATTAAATGATTAGGTAACGAATTTAATTGCTTGAAACAGTGTGAATAATGTAACTTCTTTTTCTAAATTCATGTTTCCACCGTCATTATGTACTTCAAAATCACTGATGCCATCAACTATGCTCTGGGCAAGTTTATCGTCAATGTTTACATCTTTGTTTTCATTCATGATAGTCTTTCTTTCGTTCTTCTGTTCAACTCTTACCTTAATATTCAAATCATTTAATATATCATTCACTGTTCTGGTTATGGTCGAGTCGTAATTCACGAATGAATGAGTATGTATTGATTGGTTCTGTTGCATTCTTGCGAACTCTTGAATCAGCCATAACTACTAAAGAACGCTTTGAATCATCCATAGAAGTCATGATATCGATATCATAATCATTGCAGGAATAACATTTAATCATTCTGTTCGAAACTGCATAGAAGAAATTAGTGTTGCAATAAATGTGAAGACCTCCTGAAGCAGTTTTAACGATAACATCTTTTCCGAAAGTTTTGATAATATTCTTTCTAACTGTTTCTTTAAGTTCATCATTGTAGATTTATTGATATCAACATCTATAATCATTAAATTTGAAATTTTATTTACTAATAAAGCCATACCAGTTTTCCTTCCTCTTCCTCCATCGTGTTTGAGGTAGTTATGTAAATCAATCTTGTTTTCACCAATTCTTTCGTTGAGGGTTTTAGTTTCTGCCACAACTAATTCTCAGCTAATGAATCAATAACTTTTTCATCAGAAACGATATAGTTGCTGTTGTTGTTTGTTGCTGTCATTTATATAGGAATAAAAAAATAAAAATAATTTTAAAACTAACTTTATTTTTGGACTGCATCATATTTCCAGGACTGTTGTCAAAATGTCATGTTGTCTATTTTTTCAGAGAAGTTAATTAACCGAGTGACACATGGTGACGTAGTGACCCCTCAGTTCTTAAAAATAATTAATTATTGAATAACCTGAAACCATTAACGTAAACATTAACGATAAAATTTATTTCCAGGACTGTTGTCAAAATGTCATGTTGTCTCATTTTTCAGAGAAGTTAATTAACCGAGTGACACATGGTGACGTAGTGACACCTCAGTTCTTCAAAAATAATTAATTATTGAATAACTGAAACCATTAACGTAAACATTAACGATAAAATTTATTTCTGCAGTTCATCCATTACTTCATTACTAATTAATTACGACATAAAATATATTTAGTTCATTCGGTACCATGCGAATATAGTCACAAATGGTGGCATGTAATCTTTACCCAAGCCTGTTGATTTGTTGTGAAAGTGTGTGAATGATTTCCTCCTGGTTCAGTTGGTCGAAAAATCTTTTTTGCTGCATTGTTATAAGATGGAGATAAAGTCATTGCCAGCTTTATAGTCTGAGTTGTATAATGGGTGGTCTCTTAATGAGTGGCTATGGTCGCCAGAAAAGTTTGTAGTTCCTGTATGAGTGTGCGGTGGAAGGTTTGCTTCTTTAATTTTCTTCGAACCTCCTGTTTGCTTTGAATATCTAGCACAGTATAAGAATTTGTCTACAATCTGCTTCCACGTACCAAAACCCAGAACTGTTGCGGATTTGTTGAGTTCATTGACGTATAAATAGAACCAACAGGATATAATGTTTGAAGTATTTCATTTTTCATGCTTGTAATCACATCATTTACTTCCGACTTCTTTGCATAATTTTATCAACATAAGTTTATTGCTTTAAGGTCTAAACATCCTGAAACCCATCCTGTATCAGCTTTAACTTTAAAAGTCTCCGATGTCCATTCATGATACCATTCAACCTTTTCTTTAATTTCATTATCTTTTTCATCAACATAAGTTTTATCTGCTTTAAGGTCTAAACATCCCGAAACCCATCCTGTATCAGCTTTAACTTTAAAGTCTCCGATGTCCATTCATGATACCATTCAACCTTTTCTTTAATTTCATTATCTTTTTCATCAACATAAGTTTTATCTGCTTTAAGGTCCTAAACATCCTGAACCCATCCTGTATCAGCTTTAATTTAAAAGTCTCCGATGTCCATTCATGATACCATTCAACATTTTCTTTAATTTCATTATCTTTTTCATCAACATAAACAAATTTGCCTTCTTATTTAATTCACTATCCACATATTCCTTATCCACTTCTTCATTGTCGTTTAGGAAACCTTCTATGAATTCCTCATTTAAATTAAATCTTCCAATCTTCAAAACTTTAGGAAATGCATTTAATGCGTAATATCTCTGTTCTTTGGTGGAATTGATGTTATATCATCCGTTATTCCTTTAATTTTTGAATTCATAAATAAAATTTCTTTTATATTTGATATCACTGCACCACTTTGCAAACGAATTCGAAATGGTCATTTTCAATACTATCTCCAAATCTCCATATTTCAACCTTTGCGTTTGTTCTGCCGTCTTTGAATTATATGCATATATGGCGTATGTAATGGTCTGAAGGACCTGGGCGCTTTGCGCCTTAAGTTGTTGTTGTTTAATCATTTATTACGATTTAAAAATAAATATTTAATTCGTTATCTCATCAGCTATTTTCTCTATTTGAAATTGCCATAATATTTCATTCATAAATTCTAAATCACAATCAAATAGGTCAGTTATTCTAAATTTAATATTTGATAAATCTTTTGAATGAAGAATAAATGAATTCCCGGATAATTGAAACGGATATGATAAAAAATGTGTTTAAGTTGATGGATAAAATGTTTTGTATTGATGGGTAAGAGTTAGGGTCTAATGTTTGATGTGAAAATCTCATTGGGGTATTAACTTTATCACATTTGATTAAAATGAAATTGGAACCAGTGTCAGAATACAAAACATCCCAACATCTTTTTCAAAATTTAATATCCCACAACAATGAACGAAGATGAGGAGTACAAAATTTAATTTTCGGCGGGAATTTAATAAGGTTATTTATTTCATCAAGTTCAAAAAGTTTATCGGGTTTTGATTTAAAATTTTCTTCATACCATACGATAAATGATTCATTTAAATAACTTAAAATCATGTTAATATCCCATTTCGCTATCACATTATTTATATACATATCATACGTTTTTTCAAGGTCATCTTTAATAAATGATATATAATCTGAAGGGTCTAAAAGAATGGGATTAAATTTACCACTCACAGAAACGAGAGTAACATTATAAATTCCGCTAACTGTTAAATTTAATTCACAGCTATTATTCGAAATAATATTGATAATTGATATTTTTATTACGATTAAAAATATGGTAAAGCGTTATTTTCCAGTGATAAATAAAACTAGAATAAGATTACCTCAAGAATTCATAAATTCAACGAATAAGAAATTCATTCATGTTATAAATTTTAGTGTTTTCAGAAAATATGAGTCAGTGTCATATTCATCAACAGGTTATATTTCACTTCATTCAAATTTAGTTCAATCAAACCCATATAATGACCATTTCATAAGATTTTCAGATGGTATTAAAAATGTAATTGATAGATTAAAATATGAACAGATTGACAATATCGAATTTTTGGAATTTTGGTTTAAATATCCCGATGGAAAAAGATTGAAGTTAAAGAAAGCTGATACTATAACAAAAACAATTACAATGACCGATCCGGTAGTGGGGAACAAAAAGAAATAAAACAAACGATAGAAACTGGTGAAAGGTCAATTATTATTGATTATGATTCAAAGGATTATTATTCGATAATGTTAATGCTTGAATATTAAATAGCCTTAACAAAGAATTTTTCAAGTGATATTTTATATTCATCAACGATTTTATTATAAATATCATTATATGTTAAATGAAGTTCAGTTGTTGTTCCGTTCTTTGATATCTTAATTGTGCTAATATCCTTTATAGGATTTATTTTTGCAAC